CTGCTTCCAAACTTTCAATCTGAGCTGGGCCCAGTGGCTCACGCCTGTAATCCCAGCACCTCAGGAGGCCAGGGTGGGTGGATCACTTGAGGTCAGGAGTTTGAGACCGGCATGACCAATATGGCGAAATCCCGTCTCTACTAAAAACACAAAAATTAGCCAGGCATGGTGGCGCGTGCCTGTAATCCCAGCTACTCAGGAAGGTGAGGTGGGAGAATCACTTGAACCCAGGAGGTGGAGGTTGCAGTGATTCGCAATCACGCCATTGCACTCCAGCCTGGGAAACAGAGCGAGCTTCCATTTCAGAAAACAAACAAAACAAAATAACTTTCGATCCATGCCCTGAAAACTAACCATCTGCCTTTTCCCACTTCTCATTGTTCTCCTCAACAATTGCTTTTCAAATTCTTTTTCTACTTTTATTTCCCCTCTCTTCTGTTGCCCAAACAAGAGCACTTCTCTATTCTTTCTTTACCTAGCTTTTTCTCTCAATTCCAAATCTCTGGTACTATCCCTCAAGATACCCACGTTGTCTTTTCAGAATTTACTTTAAACCCCAGAATCTTCCCTGATTAAATATTTAGAATTTCTTTTTATTTTCATGCTCAACTAGCAATGTCTCCCACTACCCATATTTCCCTGCCTTAACTTTTTTTCCCCTCTTTACGTGTGAGAAGAAAAACAAACCACCCACAAGCACTGCTTTCTAGACATCCCTATCTTTGTCGTACTTCATTTGCTAAATGCTAGCCTCTGTTAGAAATCAGGGTTTTTGTCTTAGGGGATATGTTCTGTGGTCTCGAACTCCTGACTTCAGGTGATTCGCCCGCCTCGGCCTTCCAAAGTGCTGGGATTACAAGATGTGAGCCACTGCACCCAGCCAAGAATGCTGGGGTTTTTTGTTTGTTTTTGTTTTTGTTTTGTTTTGTTTTTGAAACAGAGTCTCACTCTGTTTCAAAAGTCACCAGGCTGGCTTGGAGCACAGTGGCGCGATCTCAACTCACTGCAACCTCCAACTTCCTGTTCAAGCGGTTCTCCTGCCTCAGGCTCTCGAGTAGCTGGGATTACAGGCACGTGCCGCCATGTCCAGCTAATTTTTTTTTTTTTTTTTTTTTTTGAGACAGAGTCTTGCTCTGTCGCCCAGGCTGGAGCGCAGTGGCCGGATCTCGGCTCACTGCAAGCTCCGCCTCCCGGGTTTACGCCATTCTCCTGCCTCAGCCTCCCGAGTAGCTGGGACTACAGGCGCCCGCCACCTCGCCCGGCTAGTTTTTTGTATTTTTTAGTAGAGACGGGGTTTCACTGTGTTAGCCAGGATGGTCTCGATCTCCTGACCTCGTGATCCGCCCGTCTCGGCCTCCCAAAGTGCTGGGATTACAGGCTTGAGCCACCGCGCCCGGCCATCCAGCTAATTTTTGTATTTTTATTAGGGAAGGGGTTTCACCATGTTGGCCAGGATGGTCTCGATCTCCTGACCTAGTGATCCTCCTGCCTCAGTCTCCCAAAGTGCTGGGATTACAGCCGTGAACTACTGTACCTGGCAAGAATGCTGTTTTGTTTTTGTTTTTGTTTTTGTTTTTTTTGAGACGGAGTCTTGCTTTGTCGCCCAGGTTGGAGGGAAGTGGCGCCATCTCAGCTCACTGCAAGCTCCGCCTCCAGGGTTCACGCCATTCTCCTGCCTCAGCCTCCGAGTAGCTGGGACTACAGGCACTCACCACCACGCTCGGCTAATTTTTTGTATTTTTAGTAGAGACGGGTTTCACCGTGTTAGCCAGGATGGTCTCGATCTCCTGACCTTGTGATCCGCCCGCCTCAGCCTCCCAAAGTGCTGGGATTACAGGTGTGAGTCACCGCGCCCAGCGAGAATGCTGTTTTGAAATGACACTAGGGTTTACTGCCTATCATGTGCCAGGCACTTTTCAGGCATTTAAATGTTATATCACTTTAGTTTACATCTCCATGAGGTAAATATTATTAACTTCATTTAGCAGAAGAGTAAGACTAAGGCACAAAGAGTATCAGTAATTTGCCTAGTGGCTCCTGCCGAGTAATTGGCACAGCTAAGATTCTAATTCAGTCTCTTTGAAGCCAAAGCCAGACACTTGGTTCATGTCTGAAGATGCAACTCAACCACTCTGTTAATCAGGGTTCTCTAGAGGGACAGAATTAATGGGATAGATGTATACATAAGTCGGAGTTATTATAGAATATTGACTCACATGATCACAAGGTACGGTCCCACAGTAGGCTGTCTGCAAGCTGAGGAGCAAGGAAGCCAGTCCGAATCCCAAAGTTGAAGACCTTGGAGTTCGATGTTCGAGGGCAAGAAGTGTCCAGCATGGGAGAAAGATGTAGGCTCAGAGGCTAAACCAGTCTGGTCTTTCCACATTCTTCGATCTGCTTTTATTCTGGCTCAGTTGATTAGATCGTGCCCACCCAGACTGAGGATGGGTCTGCCTTTCCCAGTCCATTGACTCAAATGTTAATCACCTTTGGCAATACCCTCACAGACACACCCAGGAACAATTCTTTGCATCTTTCAATCCAATCAAGTTGACAATATTAACCATCACAAGTCCACCCGTTGTCAACTTGAACCCATACACGTCTCCTGAAATCATACATAATCTTCAAATAAAGACAATAATAAGGTCATAATTACGCTTAACATAATACAGCTATCCTTCGTACAACCGGAAACACACCAATCCCCAACCCAAATGCTATTACATAGAGGTAACAACACTTAAATGCTGATATCGGCCGGGCGCGGTGGCTCAAGCCTGTAATCCCAGCACTTTGGGAGGCCGAGACGGGCGGATCACTAGGTCAGGAGATCGAGACCATCCTGGCTAACACGGTGAAACCCCGTCTCTACTAAAAAAATACAAAAAACTAGCCGGGCGAGGTGGCGGGCGCCTGTAGTCCCAGCTACTCGGGAGGCTGAGACAGGAGAATGGCCCGAACCCGGGAGGCGGAGCTTGCAGTGAGCTGAGATCCGGCCACTGCACTCCAGCCTGGGCGACAGAGCGAGACTCCGTCTCAAAAAAAAAAAAAAAAAAAAAAAAAATGCTGATATCAAGTCAGTAAGTCTTATGTCACATGATAAAGGCAAAAGAAAGGAAATAAAATGAAGATATTTTCTTTTTTTTTTTTTTTTTTTTTTTTTTGAGATGGAGTCTCGCTCTGTCACCCAGGCTGGAGTGCAGTGGCCGGATCTCAGCTCACTGCAAGCTCCGCCTCCCGGGTTCACGCCATTCTCCGGCCTCAGCCTCCCGAGTAGCTGGGACTACAGGCGCCCGCCACCTCGCCCGGCTAGTTTTTTTTGTATTTCTTAATAGAGACGGGGTTTCACCGTGTTAGCCAGGATGGTCTCGATCTCCTGACCTCGTGATCCGCCCGTCTCGGCCTCCCAAAGTGCTGGGATTACAGGCTTGAGCCACCGCGCCCGGCCAAGATATTTTCTTAGTACAAGTGTATATATGCACAAACATGTTCCTAACAAAAGGAGGAGGCAATACTCATGACAATTACAGTCTTCATTTCTGCAACTGGTCACGTGATCATAGCTTGTATTGATGACTACTTTCTTTGACTACCCATTCTGTATTCCGTTTGCCTTCAGCTAGCACCTCAGCAGATTATGTTTTTTTAACCTGGTGGAGTGACCCAAACCTTGATTCCTGAAGGGTCTGGGCTGTTTGTAATCCTGCCTGGATTGGGCTGTTGTAGTTTCCCATTGACCTTAATCACAGGGCATGGTAATATTAAGAGACACCCTATGGGATCTCCTGTATTCCATGCATACTTCCTTACCTCCATTGTGGAGCAGTAGACTGATTTCATCTTGATAGTCTGGGTCAGTCACCCCAGCCAACACTGTAACTCCCTTCTTAGCTAGTTGACTTAAAGGTAAGAAGAACCCAAAGTGGACAGGTGGCAATCTTAAATTCCAGTTTAATGGAATCATTGTTGTGTCTCTTGGTGGCCACGTTCCTCCCTCTGGAACTAAGACCTCTAGGCCAGCAGAACATAATGCCGCAGAAACAATTGCTATTTTGGAAACATCTAAATGCATGGGTCTGTACTAGGCATTGCGGTCCTGGGATGTAGAGAGGAATTTCCCAGAAGGCCTGTCTCAGGAAGTTTACAGCCCAATAGAAAATTTCATATAATGTAGGTGTCTCCATTCATGAAGCACACATAATTTGGAGGTAGCTGTTAAGAGGTTTCTGCATGCAAAATGTCATATTGGGTCTATGACTCCTTCAGGAGTATTAAACTGAGGCTTTAAGGCTTGGTACAAGTTTTGGGGCACGGTTTGCCATCCATGACAATTAGTACATCTGTCTTTTCCCTGCTTCAGGGCTGGTGTCCAAGCTGAAATGGGAAAGTGTATCATCTTAAATGTGTGTGTGCTGCCTCACTCTGCATCCATATCTTCCTTCACCAGCCTTGCCACCTCCTTTCCTCTAGCCCTGCCACCCTCACTGCATCTTTGCCCAGCCCTGTCTTCCCCCAGGTTCTTCCTATCTCCTTGGCCACACTGCCTTCCTCCTTAACAACTTGCCTCTCCCCTTGCCCACCATCGCCACCGCGTCCCTCGGCCCCCACTCCTCTAGCCCCGTCCTTTGATGCCTGCCCCCTCCCTTCCTTCCGACCCGCCTCCTGTGTCTCCCAGCCCTGCTCTGACGTGGGAGGTGAGGGGGGGTGGGGGGATGGATGACTCACAGTGTTATGATGCAGTTCCACAACACACAGCCACATTCACCCACAGACCGAGGTACAGAACGAGAGACAACCTCTGCCCCCCCAGCAGCTGGCCAGCTTTGCAGCCCCAGTCTTGAGTCCCCAACTACCCTCCCCCCACCCACCCCCATCCCCTTCCCAATTGAAGGAGCGGAAAGAGAAGAGAGAAGAGTGAGCAGAGAGATTGAGAGATTGAGAGAGAGAGAGAGAGATAGACGGAGATCTCTGGAGCAGACCTCAAGGTGAGGGGGCAGCCCTTCTCCAAATGAATTTTTTTTCTCTTTGCAAATTTCCTCCTCCTGCTGCGTGTTGCTTTCTCCCCTTTGCAAAAACATTATTCATCCACCCTTTGTCCTCCCTTCCCCCTCCCTGCTGCCTCCGCTCCTCTCTCTCGGTTCTTCCATCCCTCTCCAAGCTCTGACGATTCCCGCACTTATTTCCCGGCAACTTTGGCTGTAGCATCAGGCATTACTGTTTATTGTTTTGCTGCTGGTGCAGACCCCCAAAGCCTGCCCTGGGAGCTGGCAGTGCTGCTAATTATTTGGACCATACCATACTGAGAATACCAGCCCGGGGGATGCCAAAACCTCAGAGCAGATGAGAAAATCCATTGTGAGCAGGTGTCCCCCTCCCTTTCTTTCCCCCCTAAGAAGCACGAGATTCGCACCTGGTTCCTCCAGCCTCTGCCTCGGCGCCTCTGTTGTCAGCTGTCAGTTGCCCCCGCCAGCCCTCCCTCTCCCCTTCCTCCCACGGTCCAGCCCCATCTCACTTCAGGGGAACATCTCTCCCCAGCACTCGGCTTGCCTTTGTTTTTTCTCCAGTCATTTGCCCAACTTGCTTCTCCCTGTGATCCGAGATGGGTGAAAAAATGACCCCTACTCCCCTTTCTGTGATTCTCTGGCCTTCCTTGCAGCCTCTCCTTGGCTTGACTGGGAATTAGGGGAGAGGGAGGGAGGCGTGACGGCTGGAGGCTGGAGAAGGAGCCCAAGATTGGGGACCCAAGCTGCCCCGTTCCCCATGCCCCTTGAAGGTGTTTCAAGGTAGTGCATGTCAGAGGGGAACTCGCAGGCAAAGTTGAAGGCAGACCTGTGAAGCAGAGACTGAAAGGTGGTCTCTTGGCAAGGAGGGCCCATTTCCTGCAGCCGGAGCCCAATGTCACCCTGAACTCAGCCCAAGGTGTTTTCCTGGGGCCCAGCCAGGAGGAGAGGACCTGAAACTGAAGATAGTCTCTATGGAGGTTTTGTGGAGAGACTGCCTGGCGGCCTTCAGAGAGTGGAACGGCTGGGTGCTTGTGGCCACTGCGGACGACAGGACGAGGACAGTCTGTATGCCCTGGCTAACCGCAGCCAACACTGCCTCGCCTCTGCTTAGTGCTCTAGCATTGCCAGAGTGCCCAGCTGGCATCTCTGAACCAGACTTAGGCTAACCACCCACAGCGGGCTGGGAGCTCTATGAAGCAGAAAGCAGCAGCTCACCTGCTTATCGGAGCCCACAGGGGCCACCTCCCTTCTTATCCTCTCCTCCAGCACCTTCAGCCACTCGGAAGCTGGCGCGTGGGCAGAAGGCAATCTTCCTCTATTCCTAATCAGAACCCAGCAATTACTTCATCTTCAGTCACCCACAGTCACTGCTGTTTGTCCCTGCCCCCTGGGAGAAGGTAGAAACATTTTCTGCCTTGTGCCCCAAAGCACAGCTGTTAAAAATGAGTCCTCCTTCTGCTGTTCGTTGTGGCCGTTGCTCTCACCCTACCACACAGCCCTGCCCAGCCCAGGAATCAGGCTCCTCTGACACGCTACCCATTTCCCATTGGCTCCAGCTGTCAGATTGCCTGAAGAAAATGTATTTTCTGCCTAAGTCTTTAACCAAGGGCTAAGGCAACAGTTAGTAAAGAATAGGAAAGAGAAAGACCAAGGGGCCCAGAGGCTGGGAAGACAGGCAGGTGCTTATTCTGGGCCAGAATGAGTGAACCAAGGTGCGGGAATGGGCAGCCACATGTGAGGGCTTCGGTACTGCTGGAAACAACTATAAAGTTCTAGTGAAGAGCGCAGGACCCTGACCTCAGGAGAGAACTGAATCAGGGTTTGTAAACCTGCCTGCATGCTCCTCCTCCCCTCACCTTACACCTCCCCCGCCAAAATGTGTAAAGGATCAATTGTATTGCAAACAAAGGCCATGTAAAAGAAAGACCTTCAGGCATCCCCAACTCTTAAAAGACTCTGATCTCCGGAGACACAGTGCCTACCAATGCCTGTGCGATGCAGAGCCTCACGAAGAACTGAAAACCAAGGAGAGGGCACTTGCAGATGACGTTGCTCCCATGGCAGCGTCTGTGCTCGTGGGCTTCTCTCTGTGGAAAATGGTGGAGGCTGCTTCTGCCCCAGGAGGGAGAAACACCGACTCCCTGGCTTTGGCGCCAGAAAGGATCGGCTGCCAGGTTTGCCAGAGCAGGATGGGGATCCAGGGGACAGGGCAACAATGCAACTGGATGCCGAGGGGGGATCGATGGTGATGGGGGAAGTAGAGGTATGGGTGAGCTGAGCCCCTTTTCCTCCATTCCCTCAGGAGGGGCCCTCCTGAGGTCACGGCTCCCCTGATGTCCTTTCCCCTCTTCCCAGGTGACTTCTATTTCTATCTGGTTCTCGTCTGGGGGGGCCCTCGCCGGGCAGCCCCCCAACACTTCTCCTGCCCTGAAACACGGCTCTAGCCAACCTGCTCCGCTGCTTCACCTGCGACCGTCTCTGCGGGGGCTGCACGGCGCCAGCCCCTCCAGCCCGCCAGGGCATTGTCCTCCAGCCCGTCATGCCCAGCTGTGACCCCGGTCCAGGCCCTGCCTGCCTCCCCACCAAGACTTTCCGCAGCTACCTGCCCCGCTGCCACCGCACTTACAGCTGTGTCCACTGCCGTGCACACCTGGCCAAACACGATGAGCTTATTTCCAAGGTATGTGAAGCGGGACCTGCCATTCCCCTCTTCTCGTGCACCAGGCTAGCCTGAACATCACCCAGGGGTGAGGCAGTGAAGCTCTTCCTCTCTCCCACACACCCCTGCGGGGATTCAGGCAGTGGGGCTGAGGGCTGCTTGGTAGTCACTGTCTGTCCTATGTCTCCACAGTCCTTCCAAGGGAGCCATGGCCGAGCCTACCTGTTTAACTCCGTGTGAGTCTACCTCTTTCCTTGTGCGTGTGCTTGTGCTTATGTGTGAGTGAGTCATTTCCCTGTGGAGAAAGGGGGGAATCCATAAGGTGATCTTGTGCCTTCAGTCTTTGCCTCCCCTTTTGCAAAGGGGTTCTCAGTCTGAAGTTCTCACATGGGGAGCCCAGGGAGAATTGAAATCATAACGTTGGAAAAAGAAGGCCCAGGCTCTAGTCTTAAAGGGGTGAATTATTAAAGGCAGGGGCTGTCCAGTTCTCTCCAGTTGGAAGTTCCCTTGGGCTGTCTGGGGACTGGACTGACAGTGCAATCCCACTGGGTGCTGGGTCCTTCCTGTTTCCTGAGACAGGGTCAACGTGGGTTGCGGGCCAGCTGAACAGCGCCTCTTGCTCACGGGGCTCCACTCGGTAGCTGATATTTTCTGTGAGAGCTGCAAAACCACACTGGGCTGGAAATATGTAAGTACCTGAGGAAGAGGGTCACCCTCTAAAGTGGAAGTCCCCACAGCCCTTCAAGCCCCAGTGACCACATCAGGTCCTTGCATGGTCCAAAGAGGAAAGAAAGAACTAGTTACTGGGTTGGGCTAGGTGGATGAGTCTCGGGGTGGGGGCCGTACAGGTGGCAATGGGGCCTGGAAGGAAACTGCTTTGTCCTACAATCACTGCTTTCTCCTTCACCAGGAACAAGCTTTTGAGACGAGCCAGAAGTACAAGGAAGGGAAATATATCATTGAAATGTCACACATGGTGAAGGACAACGGCTGGGACTGAGGGGCTCAGGCAGGCTGTGCCCTTCCTCCGCATGCCCCTCCCTCCCCACGGCCCTGCCAAGCAGTCTATACCAGCATGAGTACTGCCCCACCCCTGGGGGAAACCTGGCTCCAACCAACCCCTCCCCTGCCTCCACCATATCCACTACCAGGCACCCTTTGGAACAGGGGTCTGGGTGTACCCCAGGGGTGTTAAGGCTCAGGAGTGGGCAGCAGTCAGGGAGAGACAGAACTGGGGGAAAGGGATGGTTGTGGGTCCTTCTGTTCCCAAGTTCCTGAAAGTTGAGGCAATGGCAGGGCGTAGACTCAGGCAGAGAGGATTGTGGGAGGAATCCGTTTTTGCTCCACCTCTTTTTGAGTGAACAGAGGACAAACCTTGGGTCACGGGGCTAGTAGATCGTGGACCACAGAATAGCAAATGAGAAAAAGCTTGGGTTGGAGTGAAATTTTGGTCTCAGGCAGCAGAACAGACCAGAGTCTCTGAGGATGAAGTTTCCCACCCCTATTTGTAGGGAAAAGGACTCACGTGCAGGGAAAACTCAAATCCCAGGCCCTGGGAAATAGTAAAAGAATCAAAGGGGTTTCCATTTCACTCCACTTGTTAGTTTATCTTGGCACTGAAGAGGCACTTTCGAATATCTAACTTTTGCCGTTGGATGGGGTAGGGACAGCTGCACGCGGAACAGCCCCCACCGCCAGTCGGCTGCTTCCAGAACAAGCAGTCTTTATGGGCTTTCTCTGAGGCCCAGTCACTGCTCCTGGGACCCAGTCCCCTGGAGGGGAGGTGGAAAATCAGTGCTACGGGTCCAGTCTTTCCCGTGGCTGCCACCAGCGAATGAAACTTTTGTATGATACATAAAGTGCTTGGGTCTATTTTTAATAAAAAGGGAAAAAGCAACTTGAGGCAACCTGTCCTCTGACTTTCTTTCCCCATGCATGTACCCATAACTGTCCCCGTCACACACAACCCCCCACCCACCCACCCGGGCCTGTCCCTTTAGACCACTAGGGGGCAGCAGTTGCCGTATCCATGGCAAGACTACTGCTTGAGCTTTTACCAGAGGATAAACTTCAGGTGAGGTTTTGCCTATAAGAGGGGTGGGTTTTGTGAGCTATTCCATCGAGAGCATCCAAAACCCCTTCTGTCTGCTGGCACCCCGACAGTAAGTCCATTTTTGCCTAGATCCAGGATTGGGCAACTGAAAGGGGCTCATCTCAGAATAAGGATTTTCTCGAGTCCCATGGCTTTTCAGCCCGGTTCTGTAATGTTCTGGTCAGTTCATGGGCACACTTAAGGCTAAAAGGAAAATCATTCAGCCAAAGTGCTGCCCTGGCAGTTGATGGGAAGTGAAACAAAATAGCTCAAAAATTAGGCCGGGCACGATGGCTCACGCCTGCAATTCCAGCACTTTGAGAGGCCAAGGCTGGTGAATCACTTGATGTCAGGAGTTTGAGACCAGCCTGACCAACATGGTGAAACCGTTTCTACTAAAAATTCAAAAATTAGCCAGGCATGATGGCACGTGCCTGTAATCCCAGCTACTCAGGAGGCTGAGGCAGGAGAATCGCTTGAACCCAGGAGGTAGAGGTTGCAGTGAGCCAAGATCATGCTGTTGCACTCCAGCCTGGCAACAGGGCGAGACTCCGTCTCAAAAAGAAAAGCTCAAAATCGCAACGTCAATGCCACCGTGTGGCCCAAGGGGCATTTTATTGGCAGTGACATGAAATCCCTACTGTTGTTGGGTGCCCAGCAGTTACAGGGGAGACCATATACATCATAAAGATCACTTTTTGGTAAGCTATAATATTCTTTCCAGATTCATTCATTAATACTCCCAATATTTATAAAGCACCTATTACTTGCCAGGCATTGTGTTAAGCACTGTATGTTAAGCACATGGTGAAGATAAGGCAGCTGTGGCCTGACTTCCTGGAGCTTTCTGTCCAGTAGGAGATGCAATAACCAGGCAATCCCTGTAGAAGAGGATAATAAGGGCTCTAAGCAGGGACGCAGAGGAAGCTTGGGAGCTCATAGGAAAGGAACTCAGCCTAGATTTAAGGAGTCAAGGAAGGCTTCACAAACGTGATGACTACGATGGCATTTGAAAGATAAGAAGTTAGGTGGCAAAGGCAAAAGTGATAGAAGTATTTCAAACAGAGGGAACTGTATGTGTCGGGTAACTTATGTTTAGTTAGTTGAAGGAAATAAAAGTTTCTTGTGGGCTGAAAGCAGTGGCTCATGCCTTAATTCCAGCACTTTAGGAAGCAAAGCCTGGAGGCTTGAGGCCAAAGTTTGAGTTTAGACTGGGCAATATAGCAAGATCTTGTCTCAGTAAAAAGAGCCATATCCGCACCTGTAGTCTCGATTACTCAGGAGGCTGAGCAGGAGGATCACTTGAGCCCAGGAGGCCGAGGCTGCAGTGAGCCATGATCACGCCACTGCACTCCAGCCTGGGGAACAGAGCAAAACTTTGTCTCCTTAAAAAAAAAATTGCCTGTGGCTGGAGTATAGGCAGCAAGTGGGTGAGAGATGAGATGAAAGACAAGCAGGAACCATAAACTATTTAGGGAATCTAGATTTTATCCCAATGGTATTAGGGAAATATGGAAAAATTGTTTTTTTTAAAGTGGAGTGGCAGTATCAAATGGCTATTTGTGCCCAGACAAGAGGCTCAAATAGAAGTTTTAATAGACTGAAGAAAGTAAGGAACATATGGAAGGGCACAGTGGCTCACACCCATAATCCCAGAATTTTGGGAGGCTGAGGTGGGCAATCACTTGAGTCCAAGAGTTTGAGACCAGCTTGGGCAACAAAAATTAGCCAGGCGTGGTGGCGCATGCCTGTAATCCCAGCTACTCAGGAGGCTGAGGCAGGAGAATCACTTGAACCCATGAGGCAGAGGTTGCAGTGGGCCGAGATCATGCCACTGCACTCCAGCCTGGGCGACACAGCGAGATTCTGTCTTAAAAAAAAAAAAACAAAAGAACAAAAAATGGAGAGGCTGTCTGGGCAGGAGGAAGGAGGACTAGAACTGGAAGGCGCATAAGTAAAAGGCGAAGGGAAAAAGGCAAGCCATGGGGAAATGTCCAACATCCCCCAACTAAGGCCTTTGGGTAGCCTGACCTATCTTTCGGTTTCTGCGTGCCTAGTGATGCCAAGACCCCTCTAGGGGTTCAGCAGAGGTCCTCAAAACCCTATCCCTCTTGGACCCACTTCTTGCACCAAAGTTTAGAAAGATTTCTCAAGTCCCAACCTCTGCTCTTGAAAACCAGGCACAAACTAGCTGCCTTCTTAAAGAAGCTCCCCACATATTCCTCTCATTCAATTTATTTTAACATGTTCTAATTAAGCCTACTAGGTGCTGTGGGAGACAGAGAAGTACATGGCAGAGTCGTTGCTCTCAAATTTCTGTCTCTTTTTTTTTTTTGAGATGGAGTCTTGCTCCGTTGCCCAGGCTGGAGTGCAGTGGCGCAATCTCAGCTCACTGCAACCTCCGCCTCCCAGATTCATTCAAGAGATTCTCCTGCCTCAGCCATCCGAGTAGCTGAGAGTACAGGCGTGCATCGCCACGCCTGGCTAATTTTTGTGTTTTTAGCAGATACAGGGTTTCACCATGTTGGCCAGGCTGGTCTTGAACACCTGACCTCAGGTGATCCGCCTGCCTCGGCCTCCCAAGGTGCTGGGATTACAGGCATGAGCCACCGCACCCGGCCTCAATTTCCTTGTAATTGGTCCTGGAAGAATCGTTCTGTGGGTTGATTCAAGGGATTCTATTAATCTCTAAAATTAAGTCATGGGCAATGCTGTCCAAATCTTGGATGCCCAGACAGGTGTACCCTCAAGCAGCATTATCATCAAACACCCGGTGACCAAAAGGGAGTGGTGCAGAGAAAGGCAAGTGGATTTAGGAGGGAGCTGCAGGTATGGGATGCCAGGAGCACACAGGTCCTTTTCCCTGGGGAGCAATCCTTTTCAGTTAACCCCTTTTCCTTTCTGGTGTATTCCTTTTTTTCTCAAGTAGGCCTACTCTGTACCTAATAGTGATTCTCCTGATCTTTTCCCACTCACTCTCCATTCCAGGCTGAGTCTGGGAACGCTTATCCTTCTTAGCCTAGGAGTTGCCACCACTTGTGGTCCTTAAAGGCTTGAGGCTTTGGATGATACCCTCATACAACCAGCAGATGGCATCAAAACCTTCCATCCCTCAGCTCAGGACATCTCCCAGTTTAAAGAACCTACTCAGATCTCTCCAGATGGGTCTACAAAAAGATGAGTGAGCTGTCAAGACTTAAAACAGGGTTGTATCTAGGCTTTGCAACCTAAGAGCTACACAGTCTTAGCCAAACTGTTTAAACCTTTCCGACCCTCAGTTTTTTCATCCATAAAATGGGCTGTTACCTCCCAAGAAGTTATTAGGGTTTACAGTAACAGAGGCAGTGTCTATCACAAGCAATGCACACAGAAGTAGCTCCATAAATGTGAGCTATTAGTATAACCACCAAGTGAGGTTTCCCAGATTCCCACCAGGGTAGCTGACTGGTGCCCAGATGGGAGAGGAAATTGCAATGCTGAGGAGGCAGCCAGCGCTGGGTAGCACTACACGGCCAATGCCCTTTTAACATTGCACTGCTAGTGACAGGTGCAGACAGTAGCACAATGTGAAAAGAGCTCTGGCCAGCAGCAGAGGCACGCCGGCCCTGCCTCCTCACTCCTTCTCCCAGTCCCCGGCCCACTCAGCTCACGGGCTCCCTCTGCCCCTGCTTTGCTTCAATACAGCTTCTTTCCCTTTTATTCCATTCTTAGTGTTAATTCTGTTTTTTCAACACTCTTCCTTTCCCCTTCTTCCTCACCGCGCCCCCCCTGCCCCCAGCACAGAGACCACCTTTTTCTTGGAGGTTTTGGGATGGGAGGTCAGGACCCACTAAAGCAGGTGCAGGGATACTTTGGGCCTGAAAATGGTTATTAGCAATCCCCAAAGTCTGGAGGTCACTCGCATGAGGCTGTGTTCATCTGAATTTGCATTTCTGCCAGCTTCCCTTCTAGAGAGGAGCTTGCTGCCCAAGACTACAGAACCTTGTACTCTTATCTAAGTTTCCATCTCCTTTTCAATTTAGATAAAGGGGAGCTCTAGGCCTCAAGGCAACACTCTCAGATGACCTTCCAGGACCAGAGAGGTGGGAGCCTGTAGTCACAGCTCCCCACACAGTTGAGAGAAGCTTCCAGGCGGGAGGTAAAAGCTGCCGGTGAAGCCCCACCCCTGCATCTCCTTTTGGAGGTCCTGAAAGCACCTTGCAGATTCAGCATTAAAATGGTGAGGGTGATTCCCTCATAGTTACTGAGAGTTAGGGATAGGGTTTCACTGGCAGTGGGATTCAAATCTGAGTTATTTCCTGTTTTATCCAGGGACCCTTGGTTGGGGAGTCTTCAAGCTCATCCTAGCACTTCCCCATCCTATCCGACCCTAAGGGGGCTTCAATCCAGGACAAACAGTCCCGGGAGGATTAACACCCAAGGCCAGAAGGCTGCCCTGGAAGGACACCTGGATATCTGGAGGCTCAGACCCAGGCAGGCTCTATTGTGGCACATTCCAGCTAGGGCCACAGCCCCGGAGCCCAGCTCCAGTTCTGACCTGGTGAACTTTGTGCAGCCCAAAGAAACAGAGGCTGGAGGGTGATTCCTCTAGTGCCCTGATCAACAAAAGGCCTCCCAGGCAACGGTGTGGCCTCTGGGAGATGCCCTCTACACTACTCCACAGCCACCATAAGGAATAGAGGACAGAATTCCAGTTGGAAGCTCTTCCTCTGGGCTTCCCCTCTAGCCTCGTCCCACCCCCTCAGGAAGCAGGAGAAGTTCCCTCCCGCCCTCCCAGGCAGAGTTTTTTCTCGTAATCTGCAAACATGGG